AGCATTGTACTTCCGGACAGATCTTGAAACATCCTTTGTGATGATGAATGCCACGCCATTCCTCTTCAAACTGTCATTCCCGGCATAGTAGATCACATGGTTGTCTGATTCAAAATTGGCAAAAGCAGTCCATTTCAGCTCACTAATGCTGAGGATATCAATCTTTATGCATTCCATTTCATTTTTGACAACTTCCAATTTTCCTAGATTCATGCTTTATACATTCCATGTTCCAATGATTAATGAATGTCTGCAGCTGTTTCTCTTCAATTTGAGTGGTGCCACATCAGCAAATGGTTAATAATATGTTAGGCCCTATTTTTTTCATATAAGTGAGGAAACTGAGGCAGGCACAGAGAGGCTAAATAAGGTGAAAATTTATTCATACAACTAGAAAGTTATATAAAAATTTAATAGGCAAATGTTTGAAAACATTTATATAATTCACAAATGAAGATCGTCTATACATACCTAATTTAAAGGCTAGTGATTAATTTTCTGAATGATGTTTGGTCTTCATTCATAAAATGAATTAATGCCAAAGAACAAACAGAAGTATACTTGAATATCTATACTAATTTTGCATTTCACAGAGACCTGATATATCTATATGTTTATAAACTGATGTTAGTGACCAAAAATACATTTAACCTAGCAAACACACACACACACACACACACACACACACAAGTAAAAACAAACCTATTGCTGTGTGGTTGATTCCTCCTCATAGAGACACTATAGGACAGAGTAGAACTTTCCCATATGTTTTCCAAGGCTGGTGGCACAGCAGTTAAGGCATTTGGCTGCTAACCAGAAAGTCAGCAGTTCAAACCCACCAGATGCTTCACGAGAGGAAGACAAGGCAATCTACTTTGGTAAATATTTACAAAGGCTCGGAAACCTTACGTGTCACTATGAGTCAGATTCAACTCAATGGTAATGGGTTTGGTTTGGGAAGCTTTAAGGAGGCAGACTGCCACATCTTTCTCTCTTAAAGTGACTGGTGGCTTCAAACAACCAACCTTTTGGTTCACAGTTGAACACTTAAGCACTGCAACACTGGGCTCCTTTTAAATTAGCAGAAAGGCTTTTATATTATAAATAGAGTTGTGATTCATGAAACTAAGAATTTTTCTTCCAAGTGTACTTATTTCAGGTATTAAGCATAGAAAGGAAACAAGTAAACAACATAGATGCATAAAAAAATAAAGTTAATATCTAAAAGCCTAAAAATTGAGACAGAGACAGAGATTGCTAGACATAGAATGGACTTAGTCAATAAAAACATCAGATCAATAGTATGTATGTTTTACAAAGGTAAGAGTTGAAATATATAGAGTGTGTACCACTATCTCAATAACTTTTTAAAAGTAGATAGTTTATTTATTATCATTTGTCCTTAATTGCTTTCTGAGTAACATACAAAAGGAAAATAACAAGAAGACTAGTTTAAGGATGTTTGCTAAATTTCTTTTGAATCTGATTAAGGCTCATAAAGGGGAAGAAAGGAGAAATTTAAAATTCTTTGGTGACTTTGTACACCAGTGTGTTAGATGAAAGTACTTTGAAGACAGATATATTACCTTCAGCCTCTCAATGTTGAAAGGAGCTCTGGTGGTGCAGTGCATAAGGTATTTGACTGCTAATCAGAATGTTGTCAGTTCAAACCCACCAGCTACTCTGTGGAGGGAAAATGGGGTAATCTACTTCTGTAAATATATACCACCTTGGAAACCCAGTGGAGGTCAGTATGAGTCAGGATCGACTCCATGGCAGTGGATTGGGTTCAGTTTGGGTTTATGATGTTGAAAACTATCACTTGCTCAAAACCTTTAACAATTATACTTCATCCTTTGGGATGCTGAAAAGAACTATTTCCTCATCCATGGTGCACATAAAGGCAGGTGGACAAAGCCATGAGAGTTTTGCTTACCCAATAAAAAAAGGAAAATCATAATTCATTAAGGTCAATTACCACTGGGTCTTTTAAAACGCATAATTTCCCTTTGATAACAATAGAAAACTAGTTGATCAACCAAAATAAAATCGCTTCATGCTCTATTTTCACATTCTTATATTTAAAATATGTAGAACAATATTCAAATTTAACTCAGATATTTACATGGTAGATGTGGCACAGAAAACAGAAAGTCTCATATAGATTTTCAAAAGAAAGGCAAAGGCAAAGGCAAAATAAATGAATTCAAAGAAATGCCTCAAAAAGGAGTGAATACTCACAATGTTCATTAGGGTGAGGAGGTAGTTTTGGACGTGTTCTTTGCCATGGAAACGGACCACAGAGTCATCCACGCCCAGCAGCACCTCAATGTTGTAATCATTTTCTCCTGCATGTCTGCGGCGCCTCATCGTCTCATTCAGCTGCTGTTCAATGTTGCTGTAAACAGTACCTAGATCATCAAGGCCTTCCAGATCCGACTCTATTAAGACACAAAAGGAACCCAGGCATTTAAATTTCCCCAATGGGCCTCCTAATTTTAAAAAATGGGACTTCTTTTAAAAAAGAGTCTCCTAGGGTGCCTATCATTATAAACCATAATCACCAAAATGCTGCTTTTTGGTGTATTCCTTAAATAATGGGAATGTGTATAAGGTCAGACAGACTTTGTGTGAGTTCAATATAGAATCTTAAATAATCGTGATTTGTCCAGAGAGCAGTGAGACCAGGTTAAGTGGAATCCTCCATGAGCGCAAGAATGGTTTAGTCTTCCTCCTAGCTCTATTCTCCAGTGCTCTATGAAGAGTGGTTCACTACTGGTTAAGAAGTTATTAAGTAAATGGATATTATGAATAAAAATCATAAGTCAATATGTTTACAGTGGTTAATTCAAGTTCCCACAATCACACAATACAGAATTTATATCATATAAATTGAAATTGCTCCTCTTTTCCATAGCCTTAATTTAAAAATCAAGGTATAGCATGGCAACATAACGGTGTTTAGTGGTATGATTACCTGTCACCATGTCTTATTTTATTTCTTCTGCATGCAGGTTTTTAGCAAATGCTGTTAAGGAAAAAGTAAATATAAAAAGTATTTAACACTAAACAATTCCATATTTGTACTAGCCTGGATTGTGGTTAATTTCAATTGCTGCATATTTGAATTTGTGAGATATTACAGTAAGAAGTCAGTCTGAGAATTATTTTTAAGGGAAAATAAAAAGTGTACACCTTTTTTAATGCAATTCAAAGAATTTATATTTTTACTTTTCACAAATAGACATTTCAGACATACACCTGTATCTACATATATAGAGAGAGAATTATCAAGTTCTAATGACCTAGATTATCTGTTTTAAGATTATTTTTTGGTGAAGAATTGGTTTTAGTGAGTTAAGAAATAAAATCTATCACTTGGATATTAAAATAAAATTATTCAAAACTGCTGGTATGTAAATGGAAATTATATTCATTTCCATTTCAAATATGTAAAATCTGGAAAGGATTTCAATTTATAAACCACCTTGATGTCTAAAACAAGCACATATCTAAAAACAAATCTGACAGAACCTATTCTGACTCATGTTTTATATGGAGGTTTATTTAATGCTGCACTGGGGCCTGTAAACCATCTGAATCAGTATCTGACATTAATGAATAGGCATTTTCCTCCCCACCTTTGTGGTTTCAGTAAAGTTGAGGGAAAAATAAAAAAGTGTCTCTTGGAAAGGAAGATTGATGACCAAGCCCTAGCCACGTGGGATTAGAAGCAGTGGAAGTACAGATCACACTCACACCTTTTCTGTATTTAAAAATATATAGAAACACCAATGCCCACCCCGACAAGCATGGGTGTATGCTCTGAATATGACTACTTAGTTTTGAAAGCTATACTGTAATTCACCTTGACCCAAACCCAACTGCTAGCACAGCAGCTAGGAATTTTCTCCTCACTGAGGAGTCACGCTGGTTCCACAATACATAAATAATTCTCACCACCATCCACATCAAACAGAAAGCTCTCCTCAAAAGTTGTATTGAGGAGCTGTGCACCATCTTTGAGGGCAGAAAACTGCACCTGCAAACAGCTTCACTACTCAGCCTCAAGTCTTTTCACACACTTGAGAATGTGAAAGGTGATAGCTAGTGTACAAACAGGAAATTTGTTCTAAAAATGGATCTTTTTGGCAGAATTTTCAGAGACTATGTCCAATGGAAATATATTAGCAATGTCATCATATCATTAAATCTGATGCATTAATCAAACCCTGAATACTCATTTCAAAAAGACAGATCATTTTGTACCATCCAGCAGTACCCCTTTGGTTTGGTCTTCTCATCCATTCTTAAATAGGTGTTTTTCAGGTAAGGAAAGAGAATTTCATTGTTGTTGTTGTCATTGCACAAGGAAACTTGGAAGGAGGAAAATTATTTTTTTCTTTCAACTCTTGTCTTTGTTAAACCAAGAACATTTCTGTACCTATTTTACTTTGTTCTGTTCAATTTTCTTTTCCTTGATTCCTCAACAATTTCAATCATTCAAAAGAAAGATAATGGAATGGCTTTTGGCTCTGTTTACCTATGCACATTGGTATAAATACAGACAGTTCTGAGGGTATGGAATCTCTTCATTCATAATGAATTTTTCTCAGTATGTTTTATCATGTATATTATTAGTCAAGTGATCAGTAGCATGGACTCTGTAATTAGACAGACCTGATTCCAAATCCTAGGAATGTCACATCCTAGCAGACTGAATTTATTTTAGTTATCTAACATACTGACCCTTAGTACCCTCATTGTAAAATGGGATAATAATATCTATTTTTCAGAGCTGCCTTGGTGATATGAATTAATGATGGTAAAAACATTATATACAGTGTCTGGCTATTAAAAAAAAAAAAAAAAACAAAACTCACTGCCGCCAAATTGGATCCAACTCATAGCAACCCCTTCTTGGGTTTCCGAGGCTGTATCACTTACCTGGCAGGGACCCAGGTAAGGCTGGGGACCCAGGCCATGGCCCTCCCAAGCAGCAAGAAAGCTGGGGAAAGCAGAGAAAAAGCTGGGGGATGGGAGGGGAGAGCAGGACAGAGCGAGGAAGCAGAGGCAGGGATCCATGTAGGGCTGAGAACCCAGGCTATGGCCCTCCTAAGAGGCAGGAAAACTGAGAAAAAGCCAGGGGGTGGGGTGGGCAGGGCAGAGTGAGGGAGCAGAGGCAGGGATACAGGTGGGGCCAGGATATCCAGGTCACACCCCTCCCAAGTGGTGGGAAAGAGGCAGGGATCTATGTAAAGGGAGGGTGGGGAGGGTGGAGAGGTTTTGAACAGCTAAGGGAGACAAACTTGTCCCTCAGTTTGTCCTACTGTGGTGCATTGCTGTGAGGCTTGAGGCAGTGCCACCAGTGTCTCAAACACAGCAGAGTTGCACACGGTTACACAGGTTTCAACAGCTTATAGACTGAGACAGACTAGGAAGAAGGAGGAATCCACCTACTTCTCAAAGAATTGGCCAGGAAAAACCTTCTGAATAGCAGAGAAACACTGTCTGATATATTACTGTGCAAATTTATGAATAGCCCGGAAACATTGCCTGAAACAGTGCCGGCTAATAAAACATTTAGGTCCAAAGGCTCTCAAAATAGGACCAGGAAAGGGCTGCATCATCAGAGTAGAATGAGCCCCAATAATATGGATAAGGTAAAGCTTTAAAGACCTCCATTTGCTGACGTGGCATGACTCAAACTGAGGAGAAACAGCTGCAAACATCTATTAATAATTGGAGCACGGAATGTACAAAGCATGAATCTAGCAAAATTCAAAGTTGTCAAAAATGAAATGGAGCACATAAAGATTGATATCCTAGGCATTAGTGAGCTGAAATGGACTGGTATTAGCCATTCTGAATCAGACCACCATGTGGTCTACTGTGCCAGTAACAACAATTTGAAGAGGAATGGTATGGCATTCATCATCACAAAGGATGATGTTTCAAGATCTGTCCTGAAGTACAATGCTGTCAGTGATAGGATAATATTCATACGCCTACAAGGAAGACCAGTTAATACAACTATTATTCAAATTTATGCACCCACCACCAAAGCCAAAGATGAGGAAATTGAAGATTTTTATCAATTTCTGAAGGTTGGGCAATCTACTTACATAGCAATACTGCCTTGGAAACCCAAGGAGGGGTTGCTATGAGTCAGGTCTGACTAGATGGCACATAAAAACAACAACAACATCAACTTCTGCAGTCTGAAATTGACCGGACATGCAATCAGGATGTGTTGCTTATCACTGGTGACTGGAATGCAAAAGTTGGAAAAAAGAAGAATCACCAGTAGTTGGAAAATCTGGCCTTGGTGACAGAAATGATGCTGGAAATATCATGACAGAATTTTGCAAGACCAGAGACTTATTCATTGCAAATACCTTTTTCAACAACACAAACAGTGGCTATACACATGAACTTCACCAGATGGAGTACACAGGAATCAGATTGACTACATCTGTGGCAAGAGGTGATGGAAAAGCTCGATATGTTAAGCTAAAATCAGGCCAGGAGATGATTGTGAAACAGATCATCAACTGCTCATATGTAAGTTCAACTTGAAGTTGAAGAAAATTAAAACAAGTCCATGAGAGCCAAAATATGACCTTGAAAATGTCCTTCCTGAATTTAGAAACCATCTAAAGAATAGATTTGATGCACAGAACCCTAATGACCAAAAACAAGAAAAATTATGGGATGACACCAAGAACATCATCCATGAAGAAAACGAGAAGTCATTAAAATGATGAGAAAAGAAGAAAAGACCAAAATGGATGGCAGAAGAGACTCTGAAACTTGCTCTGGAGCAGAGAGTAGCTAAAGCAAATGAAAGAAATGACAAGATAAAAGAGCTGAACAGAAGATTTCAAAGAGCAGCTCGAACAAACAAAGCCAACTACTATAATGAAATGTGCAAAGACCTGGAGTTAGAAAACCAAAAGGGAAGAACACGCTTGGCATTTCTCAAGCTGAAAGAACTGAGGAAAAAATTTAAACCTCGAGTTGTGACACTGAAAGATTTTCTGGGCAGAATATTGAATGATACAGGAAGCATCAAAAGAAGATGTAAGGAATACACAGAGTCACTGTACCAAAAAGAACTGGTCGATCTTCATCCATTTCAGGAGGTGTTGTATGTTCAAGAACCAATGGTATTGACAGAAGAAGTCAAGGTGCACTGAAGGAATTGGCAAAGAACAAGGTTCCAGGAATTGATGGAATATCCATTGAGATGTTTCAACAAATGGATGCTCCATTGGAGGCACTCACTTGGCTATGTGAATGCCAAAAAAAGGCAAAAAAAGGTGATCTCACAGAATGTGGAAATTATCAAATAATATAATTAATAAACCCATGCAAGTAAAATCTTACTGAATATAATTCAAAAATGGTTGCAGCAGTATACTGACAGAAAACTTCCAGG